TCATCTGTAACTCATGTTACAATGGTACAATGCAAACATAACTAGCATTTGACTTCTACAGATTGATAACACCGTGGCAAGGTGCCAGCTAGCTGCATGTTGTGCAAGACACATTATGAAAAGCACATACAACATAACAGGACAACAGGACAGGCAAGTCCTCTGTATGTCTCTCAACTAATTTGGTCCATGACAGCTTGCACACAATATGTCAACATGAGCCATATGCAAAGCGAAAGTAACAGAAGGTTGACTGGAGCTTGCTTATTGGATGACACCCGTGCAAGTAAAGAAGTTGCACCAAACTTCTTTTCTTTTAAATAAATGAATCTGATTCACAGCTGTGGGGACTGGGACACTAATCAGATCTAAGGACGGCCAAACAGACAATGCACATGGCCTGAGACGAGAGCTATAGAAGCCTGTCGACCTAAACAACACTACAGTGGCTTTTACTGTCTGTGAATGGTGCAAAAGAAGCCCACCATTGGCTGGGACCACCACTATGTTTTCTCAGGACTGCATTCTCAGCCCCTACTGTACGCCCTGTACACCTATGACTGCACACCAACCCACCCAACCAACATCATCGTCAAGTATGCCGGTGGAGATCAGACAGCGCAGAGGGCGGAGATAGAAAACTTGTTTACGTCCTTAAAACAAAAGAACTCATAACTTCAGGAGGCACAGACAGGTCCACTACCCTCTTATTATAAATGGAGAACGGGTGGAATCTGCTTCCATCTTCAGGTTTCTGGGGACCCACATCTCTGCTGATTTAACCTGGACCCACAACACCATCGCTCTGGTAAAGAAGGCCCAGCAGCAGTTGCACTTCCTCCATGTCCTAAGGAAGAACCACCTGGACCTGAAGGTGCTGCTGGCCATAATTTCATTATACTGTCCAATGACAATAAAGAGCTATTCTATTTAATTCTATTCTATCCTTCTTGTTAAACAAGAAATGTCCAGATTGTAATGGCTGCTAAAGGAGCTTAAGGAAATTAAAATTGCGTTACATTGTTTAGTCTGAAATAAATCTGAAGCCAGTGTTATTGTGCTCTGCAACTCACCTCGCCTTGGCGTCGTGTTTTTGGAGAAGGGCTGAAGAAATTGTGCAGGATGGAGAGGTCGCTGCTGAACAGAGCTGCTTCCTTCTCCACAATGTACTGTTTTAGGAGAGGTGAGACTTCATCCCCAAACAGAGCCTGGTTGTCCTGCCAGATCTGCCTTTTTACCTCTACTGCACACACCTTGTAGAGCTCTTTGTCAGCCATCACCATCTTTAGTTTCTTCTCTGGCACCTGCAGGAAGAAGCAAGCAATAAAGGTTCAAAAGAGGTCCGCCTAAAACGGATCCTTGGCTTCTTGTCAAAACTATATTTTCTCATGTACTGCTTACAACATTCCCGTCCCTTACTACGAGCATCAGCTAATGCTGGAGACTGAAGTTAGTTAACTTCTCCAGTTTGCACGATGGCTGATTATTTCTATGCTGTACCAGTGTCTGGCAATAGTAGACACTCACAGTGGTTGTTCTGTGGGAATTAAAGAGAGTTGGCCAAGAAACAAATGCAGCACGTCTTAGGTTATTCTCACACCTGCTGTATTTAATCCCTTTAAATCAAACTCCCCCCACCTCCCTCCCACGAGGCTCTTTGGAGGATGTGGTCTGAGTATGGTTCCAAATGAACTCCAGGGTGCTTTGTTTATGGTGTGAAAGTGATCCGAGCCAATCCAACTCCCAGGTGATAGTTTAAACTAAAAGAAATCCCTTAGCCACATTTGCTTTGTATTTTCAATGCAGGATTAATTACGGATGAAATTATTAATCCTTTCAATTAAGGATCAATTCCTATAACGGATAATGGTTGAAATACTTGCCTTAGGTAGATGCTTTAGGACCTGCATCACCACTGGCTGAATAGATGGCATTTTAACAAGTGGGAAGCTCTTCTCGAGCAGCTCTTCAAGCTTCCTGTATCTATAGATAGAGGAAAAGAGCAAAAAAAAAAAAAAAAGTCATAAAAACACTGGTTCCCTCAGCAAGCATACAAATAAATTAAAAAAACCAAAACACAACCAATCACAGACCTGTCCTCCTCCTTCCCCTCGGCTATGACGGCAACTCGCTCCATCAGCTTTTCTCTAAGCTCATCAAAGACAGACTGGTGGAACTCAAGCCGAGGCGTACCATGGAGATCGAGAAAAGGAAGAGCAGACTGGAGCGTTGGCAGCAAGATTCCATTTTCCATCTGCAATAATGTAACATGTCAAGCACTCATCAGGAATTAGTTCTAGCCGTGCAGCTACTCTATTCAAAGTCAGCTTACCCATAAGGGCACACACCTGTAAAACATGGCCAACCACATTTTATACTCCATGATATGTTTCATATAATACGGGCTTTAAATGGTCCACAAAGTATTAAATGTAAGTTAAATATGAAATGTAAATTGCATAAATGAATAAACTTAGTAGGTTTATTGACTCTTTGCCTAAAAATGTAAACAGAAAAAAAGAATTAAGCACGTCAGGAGAAGAAATACACCATGTTTTCATTTTGAATATTTTGATTTGAAACCGAACTGAGAGCTGAATAACAAATCAACTTTAACTGTGCTATAATGGCTACACGACATGGGCATAGCCTATATGCATAATAGGAACATATGTCTGTAGAAAACTGCAACTTATTGTAGGTTGTCCAGAAAAAGAATTATTCTCATATTCCCCCATACATTTGTTAGTCATCTGAATTATAACGTTTAGGGAAATCCCTTATAAAAACATTTCAATCAATATGTCATGTTTTTGTTAAACAAAATTTAATTGTTATCACTGACCAAAGTAAGTTTGGTGATGGCCGTTTTGTTTTTCACATCGCCTTTGGAAATATCCTTTTTTCCCTGATGACCAGTCAAAAACCTAAATATTTTGAGCTTAGCATGAAAAAATGCAAAAAAACAAACAAACAAACACCCAACAAGACACTGAACCACAAACACTCAGTATTACCAGTGAATGCTGAGGATTGGTGTTTGAAAAGCTCAAATAAACAGTTACTGAATTTGTTGCAAGTGAATCTGAATTTGATTAAATCGCTGATTTGCTGTAGCTCTGTCATAATGGTTGGTATCTGGGAAAATAATAAAACTGCCTCAGCATGTTCCCAAGCTGAAAATGTTCAAGATTGTTAAAGCTCTGATAAGAGAGACTACGTTTAATGCAAACGTAGTCTCTCTTATGAGTTGGCAAATCGGATCAAACTGACAAAAACACAAACACAGGATATTTCTATTTTAATTATGTTAGATTTTAATTTACATTGTAACACCTCTGAAAACCTAAGGTATTACCTATGTTATAACTTGACATGCTCCGCCCTAAAAATCACACTTACTTCAGTTACTGTGATCGGTTGATTCAGCACTGTTCATTCTCCCTTCAAATTTCTAGCTACTTTTTGGCTGCAGTGTTTTAATTTATCAGTGAAAGAATAACTATGATCATCTCAATATAGGAAATAATAAACAAAGCATCATTACAAGGTCTTACAGATGTCAGCAAAGACTGGTGAAGCTATTGGAAGGAACATGAGGGGATGTACAAAGAAGTGGAAAAACTTGAGGGACAAATGTGTTTACTCCTAAAAAAAACTGAGGACAAAAAAATTTATTTCAAAGATTCACCGCAGATGTGGACAAGATGATAAACTTTAACTTTTCTACTTTTACAATCATTTATTAAAAATGTATTTCTTATTTTACTACAGCCAGTCTCTTCATGACCTTGACATCAGGGAGATCTGCAGCTTTAAACTGCAGGCAATCACTGGTTCAGTGAGTTTCAGTCACTGGACTTCTTTAAGTTTCTTGAAGATGTTTTCTTCATGTTTCTCTCATCCAAGAAGCTTCTTCAGTTTTCTGAAATAGTTCCCTGAACTGAAGAAGCTTCTTGGATGAAAGGTGATCTTCAAGAAACTTTTATTTCCAAGCTCCTAGATTACCATGACCTGGGTGACTGAGAACCTACACAGACTCTTCTATGAAACAAACTACACATGCAACGGGCCTTATAAGACAGTGATTATATACTCTCGTGGACACTGCGTGGATAGTGCTCATCTTTTTGACTGCACAAGACTATTACATCTGTGCCATTTTAATGACAAGCAAATTTACAAATCAGCAGGGGCAGAAATGTGCAAAAGATGGAGTTAGCCACATCACCTGCTAGTTATCAATCCGACGTTCTGAACCACGCTGTTCAGTGCCATGGAGAGACACTGCATGCTCATATCTTATCAACTAGTCAGTCACATGTAAAAGATATCCTGCTTTATGTAAAAGATAAAGCAGATATCCTCCTGCTTTATCCTCCATAGTTACTCTAATGGGACATGAATATCAGGCTGTATTAAATAAAACTGAAACTAGATACTGAGCCCATGAATCACCCAGTAAAGTGTCTATTGAGGACATGAATCAAAGAAGTTTAATGGTTGCTTTCCCATACATGTCTATACAACCAAAGGTATTGCCCCAAGGTGTCTATGTAAAAGAATGCAGGTTTAGATATGGTAGAGCCATTACTCTTAATCCCACTATACAATGTTCCTTCCTGTTAAAAACAAGTTTTTCCTTCCCACTGTTGCCATAAAGAGTGTCTGTGACATCCCTAATACTTAGGGAAGATTTGACTTGAGTACAAATCTTTTTAAATATCTTTTTTTTAAAAAATGGGACTAAATCTTCTTCTTCTCTTCTACGCAAAAAAATAAAATACAATAAAAATTAAAAATGCACAAATCACGACAGGGGCAGGAATCTGTGTTTTTGCTGCATCTCCATGGGGCCCAGTCTGGGTTATCTCCTGAGCACCGATATAAAGCCGAAAGGCCAAATAGTACGATTACTGGTTTCACTTTTCACATGACAAAAGTATGCCCATTTTTCATATACAGTCTATGGTTTGTGCTCAAACTGTATTACCTATTTAAGACAATAAATAGCTGTTCAAACTCTCTAAAGCTCTAAGTTGTCGTCGACTTATATCACCTACTCTCACCTCATGGAGGTAAAAACACTCCAAACACATCACAAACAAACACAACAGAACGGCATACGTTCTGTGCATTGTGAGATTGTGTGCCATCTCCAATCCTCTCTCCTGCTTTCACAGATCTGGCGGGAGAGATCCGAATAAAGGGTGAGAAGGCGATGAAAATCCTGCATTTTGATTTTTTTAATGCAGGATATTAGCTCAAAAATATGAACTTGAAGTGGAGAGCAATTTTCATTGACCATTTCTCCCACTTTCTCTTTTTGCAATCTGTGTTGTTTTGTTGTTGTTTATCGCTACAACAGTGATGAAAATAGCTTGGTAGGAAACAACGAAGAACGGTGACTAGCTTTGGGTGGTTAAGAACATACATTATCGTTTGTTTATCAATCCGGGAACGCTTATTTACCGTTAGTCGAAATGTACACTCTATCACTCGAGGCATTAAGCTGTTGGGTGTTACCTGAAACTGATCGATGGCTTTCAGCGGCTCTGTGCAGTTAGTGAGAGTTTCTTTAAGATCCTCTCCGTTGGATATACCAAGCTCAGGCAGCCCCGCGAACATCGTGCTTTCAGTTTAAGCATCAATTAAATTATCTGAGTCAAATCGATGTCTTCTGGCGGGAGTTTAGTCAACAAAAGTAAATTCCTTCTGCAGAAAACAACACATTCGCCTTTTCAGTGAGAGCTTCCTGTGTTGCAACTTTGTAAACACTCCGCCAGAAACATCCGCGATGAAACGTTCCAGCGTGCTCTGCGGTAAAAGGGCGAGCATCAAGGGGTTCGATTGCAAGCTGCGGAGAAGCGCGAACGTACAGAGAGCTGATGTAAAACCGAGTGTTAAAAGTGTCCGCTGCATTTACTGTCTGTGCCTTTCATGCTGTGTTTTTTTCCGCTGTCTGCTCTATTTCAAACTCCCTTTGCTCCACCGTAAATTGGCCGTACTCACAAACATGGGAGGATTCTATTGTGGCAAAGATCGTGGTAGAAGTATAATTACCTCGGGAAAATACGTTAAAAGTTTTATTTAAAGTCTCATATAAAGTCATTTTTAAATGCTTAACTAAAGAGATCAAAAAGCATATTTGCAGACTCATACAAAAAAAGTTTGAGCATATTTGAAAAGTTTTACTCCATCAAAACAACTAACAACGTTTTTAAAAAAAAAAATTTAAACATAACACATCAGTCTTCAAAGTAGTGATGTGTCGGTCGCAAACTACAGATCTTAGAGCCGGCTCTTTGAAGTGAACGACGCGAGCCGGCTCCTTATTGGATTCAGAAAGTTTATTCATGCAGGCCCATATGAGAGAGAATGTGCATCTTTTTGTTTTCACATTTTAATTTATATTTAATTGTGTTGTGGTTTGCAGTGTTTTGTGTTGTTTCACTTTAAATTTGTTTAAAAGGAAAAAGCTGAAAATTTAAATAGTTAAAAGTTGAAATGTAAATAGTTGTTTTTTGTATTATATGATTTATTTATTACATTTTATGTGGCGTGAATAAATAAAAGTATATTTACGGTGGCCCCTACAGACAAAG